CTCTGTGGCATCCCAACAATTACTCCATTCACACCCAGAAGAAGGCAATGGCAAACCACTTCTGGATCATCTGCCAAGAACGTATATGAACAGGTCCCAGTCCGAGAAAAGGATGGAAGGATCCTGTTCATATGGACCTGTCGCCAGACAGAACACTAAATAAATAACAGCATTCTTCAATGTGCATATGTGATGTTAACACAGAAGAAAACAGTAAATACAGTACTAATGTATGTAATGATATTAAGAGAACTTACTTTTTTATTTTGTTTGAAGGGTACTCAAAAATTGCATTATAATTCATCAGAACTTTGGCTTTGTTATGTTTTTTTTTTATTTGTGTGTCTACTTCAATTATCCAGCAACTTTTTTCTACCTCAGTTAATCTGTATACACGCTGGGCAGTCTTAAAAATAAAAGAACTGGCAGTAAACATTTTCTTTGTATACTCATATCAATTTTAAGAATTTAAATATTACTGTAATGAGAATTTATTTATTTGTTTTATTTAATTATGTCACCAGCATCTCAGATTATATTGCCGCAAATGATGCGATGATTAGTGAATCTCATATTAGAAAGAATACGAAAGGAAGTGGGTATGACTTAATTTAAGATACTAATGTGAGCATTTAACATGGGGGACCAAGGAAAGCTACAGAATACCTTAGTCAGGATAACTAGTCTCTGGGCTAGGTTTGAACGGAAGTCCTTCCACGTATGAAGCAGGAGTACTAACCGTCTTGGCCTCACTGTTTGGTGTAGACATGAAACTGCCCTGTTCTGCTTCGTGTGTTCTTACTTATAAGACTGTACCCTATACAAGGAGCACTAGTTTCAATACTGATTAGTAATTTTACATTAAGAATCTTAAAGATTCAAGTAAGGCATAAGAAGACGTGTTATATTTTTGAAATACAAATTCCTTTTTGAAAAGGAGAGATGTAGAAGTTAAGTGAAGTAGAACATATGTATTTCAGCATTAAATTAACCACTGGATACTTTCTCTCTCTCGTCTTCTTTTACCCGTAGGTGTCGAGGTTCTTTATTTATTCAATTGATCTTATTTGGACAATGGTAGGACTCCTTGGAAGAGTGATCAGCCCGACGCAAGACCTCTACCTATACAAACACAGAAAGACGCGGACAAACGTCCATGCCTTGAGTGGGACTCGAACCCACGGTCCCAGTGGCCAGGCGCACGAGGTCCACGCCTCTGACCGCGTGGCCACTGCGGCCGGCCCACTGGATACAAATGTTTTAAATGTTGAAATAATTTTGTGAGGTAGATTACATGTGATTACCAGAGCAAAGGCCTACTGACGCTGTCAGAAGGAAAGGATATATAGAATCCTTTATCTCTCTTAGTAAATAACTAATGATGATCTTATTTTCAGTTATAAGCCAATTGATCTGAAGTACGTTGTTTATCCAGTTCGTGAAGAATTTGAGGCATTGTTTCGGAGCTACTTCTCAGTGCAGAAGAATGTTAAATTCCTTGAACATATTGCAGTAAGTTTATAGTTTAGATGCGTCACGTTTGTGTTTAAAATTTAAATATATATTTATTATTCAAGTCTATACACAAACTTTTAAATTTGTTGATGTTAAAATTTAAAATTAATATTAATATTCTGCGCAATTCATCGTTATCTCGATGTTACAATATTGCGCTTTATAGTAAAAGTTTGTGTATAGACTTGAATAATAAATATATATTTGAATATTGCAGTAAGTTTTTGTGTTATTTTTAATTTGTTGTCGATGTTTGTCTTCTGGGCAGAAACATCGTATTGACAGATGCCAACACTTGGAGGATCGTACTGCCTCCTTCTTAAGCAGGGGTTAAGATGGAAGCAGTATGTTCCTCAACAAAAAAAAAGAGCCTTGTAATGTGGAGAAAGAGCACAGAAACTGAAGTTGTGATTAATCTGAAAGTTAGTGGAAAGCTGAAGCAAGGAGAATTGGTGAAGGATTGTACATGAAACAGTGGATGGGATATGTGAAAATGATTTGTAAATCGTGAAACACCACTTTATTAGGTTCAAGGAAAGAATGAAAAAAAAAATTAGTGTTTTCCATTAAGTTTGATGATTTTATACTGTAAATATTTTGGTTTATTATGTTGTTGCAAATGTTATGTTATATTGACGTTTTGAAACTGAATCAACGATCCCTGCAGATGTGTTTCGGCTTACGTCAGTGGTCTACTCTCCTGAAACTGATGAAGCACAGTCACAGTGCAGCTATGAAGCGCTTGGTTGCTGAAGACTCTTCCAAACAAAAGGGAGATGCTGAGAGAAGACTGGCATGGCAACAGTTTGGTCTAAAGTTGCTCAAATTGGAGACCCAGCTGAAAACACAGAGTGCTTTAGCATTTTCATTTATTGAGGGGAGCCTTGTGAAGGCTTTGAGAGAAGGTAAGAAATATTCTTTGTCAGAAACACAGACAGTTCGTTGCTACAAACTTATGATTTGTAAGACTTGAGGTTCTCACAGCGGTGAGTATGAAGATTTCTGTCTTCTGGGTTGTTGCGCCGTGTAATCTGGTAGATGTTTACCAACGTTTCAGAGGTCATACTGCCTCCGTCATCAGAGTATGAAGATTTCTGTCTTCTGGGTTGTTGCGCCGTGTAATCTGGTAGATGTTTACCAACGTTTCAGAGGTCATACTGCCTCCGTCATCAGAGTATGAAGATTTCTGTCTTCTGGGTTGTTGCGCCGTGTA